ATGGAGCCGGCTTCCCGGCCAATAATGCAATGGATCATTAAAATGTATACTCCTACATTATAAAAACTTTTACTCCATACTTGGGGGATTATTTATTATGCAGTTAATCTGACCAAACATTCACAGCAGGTACATCTTCCTAGTGTGTTTTTAAATGATGGTGATTCACCGCCAGTGAATGCATAGTGAAAGTCACATTCACTTCTTTATAAATGTGCCCCTAAGGCTTCTAGAATGCAATTCATAGTGTATGTGTGAGTGTATACACTGAGTGGCCAGATTATTATGATCACCCCATCAGTACTTGGTTGGGCCACGAGATAACTCCACGAGATGACTTCGTTGCGCCGCCTCCTGACTCCACGGGATGTTGAAAGGTAATGCGAGGAATCTGACACTGCACTGTTGCCCCTTCTGTTATCTTGTACCTGTCTTGCCACTCTCCGTTCTGCCCTAACATTGGCTAGTCGCTGGCAGCCACAATTCGCACGTTCAGACCCAGATTTTCGGCTGACAGTCCAGTCTTTAAACACTTTAACAATGAGCCCCTCTTGAACATTTAACAAATTCTGCTGTTTTGCTGATACTCGCTCCATGGCTCTGAGCGCCAACAATCATCCCACGTTCAAAGGCTGTTAAATCGCGTTGTTTACCCATATCTTCAGAAAAACATCACTTCTACTGTCGTGGTAAACAACCTTCTTCCCTATTTATAATGGTCTGGCCCTCTAGCAACTTCAGCGCGAAATTATAGCTAATTTGCCTACAAACGTCAGGTGGTCATAATAAACTGGCCACTCAGTGTATATGCATATACGAGCATTAAACCGCTTCTAACCTTAACCTGTTCTGTTTTAGTATCCATTTCAGACATACGGATATGCATTCCTCTTTTCACTAACTGGATATTTTGGAATATCGTTTGTACTTGCATTGATTAAAATCTTTGGAGCTCTGATTGCTGTAACAGGTAATTATTATTATTATTATTATCTAAAAGCATATTTAGATCAAAAGGACAATTATACTTTAATATGTAACTGAGGTATTGATTATAGCTTTGTTTTAATTAAGCTTAGACATTGACAGCATCAGCATGTGGAACTAAAGAGCAGCTATATATTTGTACTGCTACATAGGAAATTGGAGTACCTTACTGTGCAACTTCCTCTGTTCAAAACAGCCAATAACCTCCTATTGTCTGTGAAAATTATGCCTCTGAGCTGATTTCATTCAGGTTGTACAGCTCCGGATGTGATGTTCCATTGACATCCCTACTGCACACTGAGCTGCGGTGCATTAAAGTGAATGAAGTAAAAAAATAATAATAATGGTACCTTGCATTGTAATAGTACACTGCTGCTACGCAATGGACATAAGCCGCACCCATTTTAGTGTAAGGGCTGGCATAAACAAGCCCCTGATAGTGTTGTTATTATCACATGATCATTTCCTCCTGAAAGTGGTCAGTTTACAGAGATAAATATTGCATCGGTGTGAAAGTGTTGCAATTTAAAGTGACTCGCTCACTAATACCTAATCATGAATAAAAGGTCTCCTGTAAAAGATGGTAAATCAGGGGTAAGCAACCTTGGAGTTCCAGCTGTGAAACTACAAGTCCCATTATGCCTCTTCCTCTGGGAGTCATGCCTGTGGCTGTCAGAATCTTGTAATGCCTCATCAGACTTGTAGTTCCACAAAATCTGGGATGTCGAGGTTGCCTGCCCCTGCGGCCAATACTTGCCTATTCCACTGGATGGCATTTCTGTAATCCAGTGGTTCCCAACCTATGTAACCTCAGGACCTATATTTGTCCTTGGTCATTGAGTTGCAATCGGCATTGCGTGGCCATACCCTCAGCCCACCTCACCTCAAGCTGACACTTGGCTCTGGGCAGCATATTTTAAATGGGTGCTCGGCGCAAGAACTTACAGTGCTGTGCTAGGGGGAGACTGACGAGCCTCTCGCCTAGCACAGTGGAAGGCATAGAGCGACCCACTGAACATGGGGTTGTGACCTGCTTTTTGGTCCCGACCCGCCTGCTGAGAACCATGGCTCTAATCTAAGAGAAATTGCCACCTGTGGACTCTTCAGAAAGCTCCTGGTCCTCTCTATCCATTATTCATTTGTTCCCAAATAATACATTGGATGATCTGGATGACGATGCTTGCTTAAGCATCACACATTTGTGTAAGCAATCTCAATGTCATGTAGAATTGTAACCATCACCATTGTGGGTTTTTTTTTTGCTCGTGCAAATCCAACTTGATGTTACAGTAAAGTGATATTAAAGTCAAAATGTTCTTAAGCTATTTCAAATGCTGATTGAATCCCTTACAATGAATGGTTTCTTGCAGAATGAAAGTGTGCCCAGTTATTTTAATCAATTACATTTTACACAGAAAATGCAGCAAGAGTCAATAAATGGCACGCATTCTATAAATTCAGCTCATCCATACCATCATTTTTACTTTTTGATTTTTTTTTTTTTCTTTGCAAAAAGAATGTATCTAATGACGCAAGCTGAATGACTATACCGCATACGTTATTCTTTTATTGACCCCCTTGCCTCAGCTGACTTGCAATGCATTTTATTATTTCATAGAACAATTTTATAATTATATTTCTGCTTTAATAAATTTTTCTCTTCTACAGTAACAACTGGGAGAAAGGCTATGACAATAGTGCTGTCGTTTTTATTCTTTGCAAAACCCTTTACCTTACAGTAAGTACCATATTTTCTTTGTACAGTATTTGATTTTTTTTTTACAAGGCTCACATGAAAATAATTTTGCAATATTTATGTTTATAGCCTTTTAGCAAAGACAAAAAGTGGATAGAAAGAGGATATAGTCACATGCAGACTTTCCTTTTCGTTTCTGGCTAGTCTAACCCTGTTTGCTGCTATAATACATTCTATATGCATTAGGGTTCATGTCGACGGACATTATAGTCAAATGTTGCATTTTTCAGTCACATGGTTGCAGCTGCATTTGAATGGAAAAGCGGTGTATGGCAAGAAAGGCTTCTTTTTCTGCTTTGCCTGCAATGCAAATGCACCTGGATCAGCATGCTGCGTATAAGGAAACACAATGCAACACAAAGCAGGTCAAAGGCGGCCCCTGAACTGCCATATGTGTACTTTTGAAATAAAGCAGAACTAGCTAGCCCACTTATTGTGGGTAGCCCCTCTGTAAGGATTAATAACATTTGTGCTTGTAGTTCTTCTTTAAAATCAATAAGGTTTTGCTGATCTACATTTTGTGTACATTTCAAAACGAACGTCACGCAGAAAAGCAGAGTCCGTTAACATGAGCCAGCAACATAGAATGTGACAGTAACTCTAGCAGTGTGCTACACTAACCCTGCTACAGCCTTCAACACAGTCATAAGTGTACTTCAGTATCAGCCAAGGGAGATGTGCGAATGGTCTTTTCTACATTTAAGCTCATTCCAAATGCTTAATGCCTTGCACTGTGTCTCCAATTGTGTTACAGTTGCAAGCAAGATTTATGGTACCAAAACATTACTGATGGCCTAGGGCTGGTGTCCCTTAGTCACTACAAGCACATTAGGAGGTGTGCCATTTTAGAGAGGTGACTTAGGAGGTTTTCTGCTCAAAAAACTCTGAATTTTGCTACTGTCCTTGAAGAATAGACAATTTTCAGCTCTGGTGTGTTAACACCTAGATTATTTTATTTGTTTTTTTTTTATAATTTTTTTCATTTTTCTGATGAGAAGGCAGGGCTTTCCTGACTCCAGCATTGGACTGGATATCCACCACACCAGGGCAAGCCTTGTCTTGCTGGACAGGTGGATTGGGAGATCTAGGGATTGAACTTTTTGTCCCATGTAGCAATGGCATGCACTCCATGTGTTTCTTGCAGGGGAACTGCGTGGAACACTTGAGTGAAAAGACCCACCGCATGTGAACCAATAGAAGGCTCATCCTAGATATCTGGTAGAGAGTATCCGCCAGGCCATCCACGCAGCAGCACAGAGACGCAGTAAAAAGATCTAGCTGTTTAATCATTTTTAGGGTCCGTCAGAATAGACCCAGGGTCCCTGGCCATAGTCCTGGACCAGACCGAAAAGGTCTGACATACCGCCATAGAGGCAACCATTAGGTTGAATTGTAGGGTCAGCAAGAGCAAATAAGGCCTTAAAGAGGGCTTCTGGCCTCTTGTTCTTGGAAACGGGTACATCCTCTACAGTGACTGTAAGGGTCCTAGCTGCCACAGATGTAAGGCTTACGGCGGAACACAACTGCTTCCAGCTGGCCACGTCAATAAGCCTTAAGTCGGTGGCTTTTACTGTTCTGCTATAAGCTCATGGTATTTATACCAGAACAGTTCCCCTGACAGTCCCCTGTAAAATAATAGCTGTCATTAACGTCTAAAAAGCCATTGATTAGAGCTGTTAACAAAAACTCTGGTGCCCAGCTCCGCAATCTGCAGCCTCTTCTCCCTGCCTGGAGTCGCTCCAGGCTGGGATCTATTTCTCCTCAGATCCCCGCTGCTCTCCCCCGCCTGTATGGGCTGAGGCAGCGGGGATCCGAGGTGAAATGGCCGGCGGGGAGAGAGCGCTGAGGAGATCAGAGCCGATTGCTGTCAAATCCATAGGTTGCCGACGGCTTTGTGATCGTGCATGCCGAGTGGGTTGGATGGCTGAGTGGAGGATCGGTAAATATCTGTGGTCTGGGTTTGGCGGTCACCTCCTTTTATCAAGCCTAAGACTGCATTCACACATGAGCGACACCTATTACTCGCATCTTATGCACGTTTTTTTTGTGAGTGTTTTTCTCCACGGTTTTACGAGCAGATTGTGGGCTATTCATGTGCATGGGCAAAACATGTTGAATCTGCTCAAAAATAATTGCAGCGTGTACTTTTCAAGCGTTTTCTATTGAGTCAGTGGGAAGGAAACGCGCTGAATCTGCTCATGTAAACGCGCTGAATCTGCTCATGTAGTAGCTCATGTAGTATTTAGTGCGACAGGCGTTTTTTCTGCTTGTGACAAAACGCCCAGGTGTGAACAGGGACCATAGAACTGAATGGGATTCCTGGGGGTCGAGCATTTTGTCACGCTGATTAACACGTGACAATATGCTTAGGTGTATATGGAGCCTAAGGGTTCTAGGAATGCCTAATGGAAAGACATATTCTTCCCATTTGAGGAAAAAATGAGGGGGACTTCATGAGTGAATCTTTTATTGCATTTATCTATATGTATGCATGTGCGTCGCACAAAAGTGCATGTGCTTGAAATTTTAGTCGGAATAAGGAAAATTGAATAAGCGGCTTTCTGTGAATAGCAATATGGGGAGCACCATGCGTGTATAATGCATATTATTATTATTACCGTATATACTCGAGTATAAGCTGAGTTTTTCAGCCCATTTTTTGTGCTGAAAAGTGCCCCCCTCGGCTTATACTCGAGTCAGCGTCTCGAGCTGGTCAGGTTTCTTCTTACTTACCTCGCCGAGCGTCGCGTCACTGCTGCTCCGGTGGGCGGCGCTCTGAGCGGGGTCATCTGGCAGTCTCCGGGTCCTCTAAAAGGGAGGGCCAAGTGATACATGAGGAGGTAGCTGTGTGGGGATGAATTGTTTGAGAACGTGATGGTTGAGCGGTTAGTTTGAGGTGGGATAGGCTTCCCTGAAGCGATGGATGCTAATGCATGTACAATGCACGAAAGTGCAAATACATGTGCTAAAATTTGGGAACATTTTTACCAGTAGTAGGTGTGAGTATTTGGCATAATCCAGAAGTTATAGAATGTCAGGTTCTACAGAGTATCAGGTTGATGCAGTGAGAGCACGAACTGTCAAGGGTGTACAAAGTGGAATGTACAGAAATAATACCAAGACTCTTAGCCCTCGTTCACACCTGAACGTTTTGTAGCGCGTTCTACGCTCGACGAACGCTCTACAAAACGCTCAAACATCTAAATCCCATTGTATTCAATGGGTCTGGTTCACACCTTGGCGTATTTCAGCCCGTCCCTAACGCGCTACAAAACGGCCCACGCCTGAAAAGGTACATGTACTACTTTGGGCCGTTTTTGTTGCGCGTTTCCATTGGGATACAGCCAAGTAGCCCTCAGAAACGCGCGTTTGTCGCGATTTTTTTTACCACGAATCGCTGTAAAAAACGCGCGACAGACGCGCATATGCAATACGCCTAGGTGTGAACCAGGGCTTAGACATGTCAGGGACTGGGTCGGATGTAATAAAATCACTTAATAAGATTGCACTGACATATAGTACCTCATTTAATCCATTAGGGTTTCGTGTATTTAATGTATAGAACCAGTATGTCTCCTGATTACAAAGTTTGCGAAAGTTGGTGACTTTTTTTTGTTTTATGTGTAATCAAAACCCTGTGTTTTATCTCTTTAGGTATGTATGGTCTGGACTGTTAGTTGTACTTGGAATTTTCTTAAATGTCTACAGTAAGAATATGGACATAATTACGCTGCCCCATCTTTACAGTTTTCTGAAGATAAAGGGTTCAGAAGGAAAATCACGGACGTTTTCACAGACTGTATAACTTGGTTAACTTTAGAATTTTTATTTTAACTTCAGTAATCATTAAATGATTATGTATTTCCAAAGGGAATTGGATACACTAAGCAGAAGGTGATGGCATATTGCCCGCTGCGTTACTGCAGAAGTGTAAGTCAAGGGTGAACTGTATTTTGTTTTATCACTCCACTTGCCAAAAGGCATTTTCCAGGGGGCCAGGCGCCTTGGACTATTCAGATGAAGTAGGGTGCTGGAAAACCTTTGTTAGAAGTATGTGGACTATGACATTTTACGGGACCAGCATTGGAACTGTTTTTTTTCACCTTATTGTTACAACAAACAGATTCAGTGTTTTATGTTTAAGAATTGTCAGTATCATTCAAATGCAACCAGTGCTCATCAGATCACTGAGGTAAATCCTAGCTATGTAGGACCATTTTTCATTTTTATGAAGTAGTGAGGACATGGTTTGGGGAGCTGAGAATCTGTTTTACATCATGTTCCTGCACTTGATATGAGATTCTGTACAGAAACTAATGCATAAGCCTTACTGAAACATGATTGTAACATGCAAAGCGTATACAGAATGTGCTTTTTATTGTCCTTTCTTTCCATCTTTTATCACGTGTAATTTCCTTCCTGATGTGATCACGTGTATAATAATCTGCCGCTATACATTCCTCTAAATGTTCAGTTCCACCGCAGATTTATTTATAATGTGATTATATGAAATGTGAACATTCATCCCGCTCCTTTTATTGTTAAACATGAATTGATCACACTGCTATTTATGATTTACCTATTAATGAATAATTCTGGACACTTAGAAATGGCTTCAGTGCCACTGTGTGGCTGCACAGGAATGTTCACAGCCTTTGACTAAAAACTGCTGGATAATGTGTCCGCTTTATGAATGGATTACTGGGGGATTGCTGAAATTTAAATAGTCCTTCCTTTGAAATATTTCTTGTTTACTGTTGTTTCTGGGTGACTCATTGGGAAGTTATGCTTTTTAAAGTGAACCTGTGGGGATAAACATATGGGAGATGGCATTACTGACTTTATTTTAAAGGTGCATTCTTTAGACTGTCATCCTGATCCTGTTTTTACTATGCACTAAATAAGTGACCTAAAAAAAAGCATGCAGCTAGTGAAGTCTGAAATGTCTGCGCTCCCGTTTCACATACTTCTTCTGAGTCAGTGACTTGTTGGATAGTAAAGTTAGAATCAGAGTACCATATTTTGTATGTTTAAAAATAAATCAGTAGTAGCAGCTCCCATATTAATATCCTCCGGTCCAAACCATAAACAGTGCTTCCAGAGTGGTCAGGCTCTGGAACGCACTATATTGCACTTCAGCCAGCTTCCTGCGTTCTGCGGTGTTTGGCGGTGTGTTGAAGTCAATGGCACCACAGCCACGCTCCCCACACACAGTGCAATCACCCGCACCCAAGCGTGTAGCACATCAGTGCCTGTGTTCCGGTCCAGTGCGATCTACAAAAATGCTGCAAGCACTACAGGTAGCACTGGACCAGAACGCAGGCACTGACGTGCCACATGTGTGGTGCTGGTGATTGCACTGCGGGCGTGGCTGCGGTGGCATTGACTTAAATGCACGACCACACTCCTGACCGCAGGAATCCGGCTGAAGTGCGATTACAGTGCGTTCCAGAGCCTGACGCTCTGAAACACACTGTTTATGGTGTGAACCGGCCCTAACATATGAGACATATCTGTGTTGCCCTTAGCGCCAAAATAAGGATTTTCCTTATGTGGTAGATACATGAAAGGTACTATAAAACTGGTCTTTGTAACTGATACATACAGTTGTGTGAAAAAGAAAGTGCACCCTCTTTGAATTCTATGGTTTTGGGACATGGGGACATAATAAAAATCATCTGGGCCTTAACATTAAGTAAATACAACCTCAGATGAACAACAACACATTCTGTACACCATGTCATTATTATTTATTTTACAAATGTAAAGCTAAAATGGAGAAGGTGTGTGAAAAACTAAGTACACCTCTACTGCTGATAATCAAATGCCTTTGATTACCTGTTCATAAAGCAAGTGTGACCAGCTCCTATGAAATCTGGCCTGGAGCATTCAGGTGTGTATTAACACAATGCCAAGGAGGCAAGACATCAGCAATGACTTTTTAGAGAAGCAATTGTTGCTGCCCATCAATTTGGAAGGGTTATAAGGCCATTCCCAAACAATTTAAAGTCCATCATTCTATAGTGAGGAAGTATATTTACGAGTGGAAAACATTCAAGACCGTTTCCAATCTTCCCAGGAGTGGACGTCCCAGCAAATTCACCCCAAGGTGAGACCGTCCAATGCTCAGAGAAATTGCAAAAAACCCAAGAGTTACAATGTTAAAATTCATAACGGTTAGAAAAAGATGGCACAAGTGTGGTTTAGTTGAAACTGTTGCCAGAAGAAAACCTCTTCTCTTTAAAAAGAACATGGCTTAGGTTTGCAAAATTGCATCTGAACAAACCGCATGATTTCTGGAACAATGTCCTTTGGACAGATGAGACCAAAGTGGAGATGTTTGGTCATAATGCACAGCGCCATGTATGGCGAAAACCAAAGACAGCATCAAGCACATCAGCACAAACACCTCATACCAGCTGTCAAGGATGGAAGTGGAGGAGTGATGATTTTGGGCTTGTTTTGCAGCCACAGTACCTGGGCACCATGCAGTCATTGTGTCAACCATGAACTCCTCTGTATACCAAAGTTTTCTAGAGTCAAATGTGAGGCCATCTGTACGACCGCTAAAGCTTGGCTGAAATTCGGTCATGCAACAAGACAATGATCCCAAGCACACCAGCAAATCTATAACAGAATGGCTGTAAAAGAAAAGAATCAAAGTGTTGCAATGGCCCTGTGAAAGTCCAGACCTCACCCTGTATGAGATGCTGTGTTGGGACTTTAACCTCCCTGGCGGTATGATTATGTCAGGAATTTTGTGCCAAAAGCGGTACAATTTTTTGCATGGAAATTTGGTGTTATGTATTGTAGGCCTGCAATTCTTAGTAATTACTTACTTAAACCTGACCAAGCAAGACTTTAGTAGACATCCCAGAAGTGATAAAGTTTGAAACACAAAATCATGAATTATAATCTAATAAATAATATAATTTTATTCAATAATGTAATCAAAAATAATGAAATTTGTCAAACAAAGAAAATTCAATAAACATCCTGAGTGTGATAAATTTTGAAACATGGGACTGCACAAAGTCCGACGTCACAATCAGGACAATGGAACCTGGTTTCTTTTCGGACTTTCTTTCCATTGTCATCTCTCTTTGAGCAGCAAACTACGCACATCCTGGTAGGTGCTGCCTTTTTTGCGGTTGGCGGAATGTAGTCCATAAAGTGACGACCAGTCAGGCGTTCTGGATTGACAACGTCAACAGCACGACGTCCAGGTCTGTTCACAGCTACTGATGGCGTCTGGTAGTTGAGAAAAATCCGCTCAGCCACCTTCCAGATAAAGTCAGAATGAACAAGAGGCTTGTCAATCTTTGCTCTGTGCAGGATATATGCATTCCAAAGGCATTGTTCCAGAAGATCTTTTTATAATATTTTTTTTGTTGTTTGTGCATAGCCGGATAAAATGTCATTGCCTGATCGGCTGTCGACACCTCCCATTGTGTTGTTATAGTCTATCACGACTTGCGGCTTCAGCACATCTTTCCCACCTTTTGTGTTGACCATGGCAGTGGAGGGATTGTGCACAAAAACTCATGAGACACACGTCCTTGTCTCGCCATCGCATTGCCATCATCTTACCCTTCTGCCAGGCAACTATTTCTCCGGTTTTTAGTTTTTTCTTGGCAAACATAGATGGCATGTCACGTCGGTTAGGCCTAACGGTACCATATGCATCCGTCTCTTGTTTTGTAGCAAAACCTCATACAGTTCGGAGACGTGTAGAAATTGTCCGTGGTCACACAATATCCCTGGTTCAGCAATGGCTCCAGCAGTGTAAGGACAGGACATCCCATAGCCACTGTACCTGGGGTTGAACTTCGTGCCTTTACCGGTGTAAATGACCGAATTCCAGATGTACCCAGTGGATGACTCGCAGAGCATGTAGGATTTGATGCCAAACCGCTTTTGGATGCAATGTACTGTATCCAGCTTAGGCATCCCTTGTAGGCCATCATACTTTCATCCACGCTGACGTCCCTTTCTGGCACGTAGGTCCGCTGGAAATTGGTCACAATCATTTGGCATACCTCCCAGATTTTTTTTAGTTTGGGCGCAGGATGCGTGGCCTCATCAAATTCTTCATTGTTCGTGAAGTGGAAATACTTCATGATGAGGGAAAACCGGTATTCTGACATCACGGTGCCAAAAAACGGAGTGGCCAGTAACTTATTGGTGGTCCAGTACCATTTCTGGAGCGGTTTCCCCACCACCCCCTGAAGAATGATGAGTCCCAGAAACTGCCAGATGTCCTCTTTGGTCACCGGTTCCCACTTTCTGCTTCTGGAAAACCTGGCATGCAGCGTAGCGGATTGCTGCTCTTGGTAGCGATTTGTCTCCGTGACAATTTTTTCAATTACCTCCTCAGTGAGGAATAATTGCAGGTATGCCAGAGGGTTGTCACGCTCAACATCTACCTTCATCCCAGGTGATCCAGTGAACGGGAATCTTGGGGGCGCTACCTGGTCCGTATCGCAGTCAATAGGGCACCAAGTGCGCACATCGCTGAGGTCAGGTGCAGGATCATCGCCGTTGTCACTTGCCAGATCAGTGTCAGACGTGTCAGACGACAAATCTCCCCACGACTCACTATCGCTCACTTCTGCGAGCACCTCCGTGTCGCTGTCACTCAACTGGTCCAAAAACTCTTTTGTTGTAAAGTGGCGCTTTTTTGATGCCATGTTATAAATATTTTATGAGCTGAAATTACAGCACAAATGATAGTAAAATGGCAGGCAAGGGGCACTGTACAGTAATCAGGTGTCCGATCTGAGGTGATACAGTGTAGTCCTCCTCAGATTACACTGTATCAGCTCTTTTATGTGTGTTTCACTTTTGAATTTGCCGCCCAGTTCCGCTCCCATGCGCCGCTGCTGCTCGCAGGGAACTGAACCAGGAAGTCAGATGCCGGCTGGCGATCATGGCGGAGGACATAGCTGAAGATCATTCTCGCCGGCGATCATAGCAGATGACATCGCTGGATCGCCAGGAGAAGGTGAGGAAACTCCGCTGACAGCTCTGCAATGTTACCCCGAGCGTGACTTGGGGTTACCGCTCCTGGCAGAGAAAATTAACCCCGAGTCACGCTCGGGATTACCGCCAGGGAGGTTAAGAGAGCTGTGCGTAAACAAATGCTGGCAAACTTCAATGTACTGAAGCAACGTTGTAAAGAAGAGTGGGCCAAAACCACTCCTCAATGATGTGAGAGACCTACAGAAAAGA